AAGGCAGTGTGGGTCGGGAACCATTCACCACTGAAATCCCAACCCCATCCCACCCCCATCTGGAATTCTCGTGTTACTTCCCGTTTCACTAAAGCAATCCCAGAATGTGTTACTCTGTGACCTATGCCTTGGATTGCCTGGGTTTCACTGACATGGACACTTCTGCTGTGTGATGGCCCATTCTAGGCTACTCTCTGTGAAACAGCAAGTACTAAGGATTTTGCAGAAGAGATGGGAAGGAGAACTATTGAAAAGTTCTCTAAAAAGTCAGTGAGGCTGCTCTGGTCCTGATCCTACTCACATAGCTTCCTGCTGCTTGCCCCCCCCAGTTTGCTTAGGGGAGGAATTCAGGAGAACGAGCCTGCATTTAACTCCATATTCAGTTTTGCTTTGCAGTTCACCTTTGACTGTCTCTACAAGGAAGCAAGTGGAACACAAATTTCTAGCAGTGACTCTCAGCCCACGCAATCTCTTAGTAGCTCAGGCTTTTGAAATTGTTTTTTTTCCCCCCGCACGTAACTGCATTTTATCTCCAATTTGTAAAAAGGGAGGGAAACAGAATTTCCAGTTTTGTACTGGTTAGAAAAATGCACAATTGTGGGTCCTGAAACTGTGTGAAAATAAGTTACAGTGGAAGAGCATATGCTGACTTTATGAAGGTTTTCTAATTTTATGTTTTATGTTTATGACTTTACATAGTATTGAAGAATGAAAGTGACTTCATTTTTTTTAAATTTAAATGAAGTTCAAAATGTACGTCATCAAGGGTCTATTTCCCCCTCCCTGCATTCTTAAAATATTTTGGCTGACTCAGCAACACTTGAGGAGAGTCTCCTTATTGTCTCATAGGGGAGAACTGAGAGAAACCATAAGGGACTTATGCCTGGATGTTGCAAAGAGCTCAGTGTGCGTGTGGACCCCATGAACGCAAGGATCTTCCTGCATAGATCAGTGTCTAATACTACTTCAAATAAATGTCATGATTTCACAAAAGATGTTGCAACCAAAATATTTTGACAGTTGCAGTGTTTGGGGCAGGGGAGGAGGGGGTGCACACTCATTCCTGGTGTATTAATTTATTATTTTATAAACTTACACGGTGAAATCCTAGCCCCGTTGAAGTCATTGGGAGTTTTGCCATTGACTCCAGTAGAGCCAGGATTTCACCATGTACTCTCTTATTCACACGTTTCCTCTATTAAAACAGAAGAGCACATGACATTCATCCCACACCATTTTTTTCCACCGTTACCACTAATGAGATCAGAGGGACATCCCACTCCCAGACACCCTTTGTGGGACCAGTAGCCAAGAGAGGCTTTTAATTTTATCTACAATGGGTAAGAGAGTAAAGCAACAATGAAAAGATACAGTTAGTTCTTATCCTTTGTGCACAGAGATGCTCATGGAAATCTCTCCCTACCCCCATCCCCACCCTCCCATTTTCAAAATTGCTATATGGAGGGGGGGGGGAAGCTAATCTCTTTTAGGTCTGTGGGGCAAGGATCTCTTTTTGACATGACTTTAAAGGTCACAGGCACTTTTGCCTTTCTGTTATGCCACACGGCTGACTGTAAGCAAGCAGGCTGCCTGGGAGCACAAAGGAGCGCTGTCTGACGGTCGGCAGAACATGGCTAATGTTACGGAGGAAGGGAATCTGAAGACAAAACCGGACTCTATGCTAGGCAAAGACAAATCGGGGACAGAGCCCCTGGAGCACGGACAACAGAGATATGTAGCATGCCACCCATACATGTATTCTAGACAGGCCTAACAGAAGTACTGCTGGCCTCCAATAAGCTAAATACAGCGCTCTACATTCTGAAAGCACTTGGCAAACGTTAATTAGACAAATCCAGCATCAGTCATAATGCCCACTGATTTCAGGCAAAGACTACAGTATTTGTTAACAACCCTTCTGTTCTGCAGACGATTGGACGTTAGGCTGTCTGTACCTGCCAGTTTTGAACAAGCGTCAGCATCTCTCACTCTCTCCATAACGTATGCAACAAATGTACAGCCATGCAGAAACACATCTGCCTTGCCGTCTCCATTGCGAGCGAGGCATCTCTTCTCTTGCAGCCACACAAGCTAAATGATTTTCACCATGCACATTACCCCTTGCAAACACACACAAAATTTGTTACTGTGGTGTGTATCGCTTTTAAAAACAACATGTTAGTTGTCCAGTAGAGCAGCAGCTGAATGGTCCACCATCAGGGACAAGCCCAGAATATGGGGTGTCATTTCTGGGTGTCCACTCTCTATGCCAGTGGAGACCCAGGGCAGCATGCAAATCTTGCCCTGGATCTCTAGGGGAGAGCATGTAGGCCGTAGTACACTTGAGGGCAGTGTTTGGGTGAGCCAGCATTGGGGGCAATGCCCGAGCCACGGCTGAGATGGGCATGGGAAGCACCACCTTGCCCGTGATCTAGGCCCTGATGGAAATGAAAACCTTGAATGGCTTTTTGAGCAGAAAATTCCTTTTTAACAAATTTGCCTCAATGCATCTAGCTTGTTGCAATCCAGCATGTGCTATGTTTGTTCTGTTTTCTCATTGTTACCAGCCGGCGGTTTCTTTAGGATTTCTTTTATTTTTACTGTCTAACCAAATATGGCTGGGACAAACACGCTGCTTAGAAGAGAATTAGGGCATCCTAAATACTACAGCACATATAACTGTAGGCATGTTTCATTGGCCTCTTTTGCCTAGGTCTTGCAGCACACGAGGGTCCTGCTGTTCTAAGGCCTTGTGCTCTAGAGCTGCAGAGGAATGTTACCTGTACAGTGTGGTGAATGTTCATGATTGGCTTAAGATATCTGGGCTCTGTTATATGCACTCTCATATGGTGTTCTGGGGGAAAAAAACCAACACCACCTGCCTAGATTGAGATGCAGGGAGAATGTGACTGGAAATGAAAATCCTGCTGCCTCTTCTTTTTTGTTTTTTCCTCAAACCCTCCCCCATCCACTACCTTTTATTCTTTAGGGCCTATAGACCGTGATTGCTTGACTGATGGATCGATCTGTGCCTTGGCATTTCTCCACCTGCTGCAGCCTCATGTAGGGTTTCCTCTTCTAATAGGAACGATGCAACGCATCCTTTTATGGGTTTTGCTTTTCCAACTTGAGTGGAGGATAAAAGGCTTGAATTGCTGAACTCTGGTAGATATCCCAGCCCATTCTCCTCTCCTCTCCGTGCCAGCTTTCCACTTTATCTTTGGAGCAGCAGAGCCTAGCTTGTAATCAATAACGTTTGGTAAATGACTAGTCACTGAGAAGCTTTTTCTACCCATACGGGGCCAAATCAGTTCCTGGGGTAACTCTGTTGCTGTCAGTGGAGTTACACCAGCAATGAATTTGATCCTCACACTCTGACTTGTCCGGTTTGCGTACTGTGTCACTCCTAGTTTTGGGCTATAAACTATTCAGATCTCTCTCTTGTACCTGCTGAATATACTCTGTGGTAAATACATGACATGGGGAGACCTGACACGCTATATTTGGTATTTAAATCTGCTGAGAGAGATTTAAAGAAACGCCTTCTTAGCAATTTTCAGAATTTAAAAAACAAAAACCAATTTTCCCTCCCTACTTATAATTCCCCCTTTGAGGCTTAACAGTGAAACCTGTTTCCTCCCTGTGTTCTTGCTCATCCCCACCTCCCCTAGTGCCGCCAGCCTCTTTTTATCGCTGGGCTGCTCAGGAGGGCTGGGCATAGTGCTATGGCTGCAATGTAGGAAAAGAGCATTCACACATTTATTCTGAGGAGATGTGGTAAACGTGTGCACATGCCCACACTTTGCAATCCTGTAGAGAAAGGGTCCGTGTGGGTGGGGGAGTTTTGGACCTTGACAGCGTCCATTAGTTGGGGATTGGTCCTGCTTTGAGCAGGAGGTTGGACTAGATGACCTCCTAAGGTCCCTTCCAACCCAGATTTCTATGATTCTAAAATGTTAATGGCCTTGGAGTACCGTCCTTGAGGTCATGGGTGCTACAACAGAGCTGCATTTGACCCCCAGAACCTGGTTTGTGGTATCAAATGGGGAAAGTGAACACAGCGGAGCGAATTCGGCACTGACTTCCAACCTCTCTGCAGCCCCACTGACTTCAAGGGAATTGTATGAGAGAGAGAGTTCCATGTGGGATAACAGCTGATAAACATATGGTCGTAAAGGTGCTAATCAGTCACAATCGCCTGTGGGATTAACAGATTTAAAGAGAACAGTTCTCCTCTAGCAGCACCGAAAATATCATTTGCACTTTATAATCAACTAAGCAGGTGCATCTAAGTGGGGATACAAGACGTGGGGTCTCAGTGGGAGGAAATGCGAGTGCTACCAGGGTGGGGGGTGAAAGGCAACTCCTAAAAGCCAGAACTACAGTAAACTTTTTGTTAAATAGTATTTTAAGCACTGTGGGTTTAATTACATGTGCAGTTGTACGCCTATTTGCCTGACATGCATGGGCAATCATGATGTCTGTGCACAGGACTAGCCACTTGCATGGGCAGTAACCAAATTTGTGCACACAACGCTGACTCAAGGAATTGAAAACAAGCCTACGGCAACACAGCTGTGGGGGTGTTTGGGTTTTTTAAAAACAAAACCAAAAAAACATTGACGGGCTTGAAATATTTCTTTCACCAAGGTAGTGTAAGAATGCAAGAAGTAATGAAGTTGGGGCCTGATCCAAAGACCATTCAAGTTGATGGAAAGTTTCCTATTGACTTCAGCGGGCCTCGAAGCAGGTTCGGAATGGGCAATTGCCTTTGGGAGTCTGCCATAGATTTGAAGAGTCTGAGTGAATATAAGTCATTGGTGCTTGCGTGCTAGGCAGCCAGGTGTGGGGCAAACGTGTGGCAACATCAGTGGTGCTCCTGCCCTACGTGGCTAATTGGGAGGCAAAGGCCTGGCTGGCTGGGTGTGGGGCAAAGGATGGGCAGGTTTAGGCAGCAGTAATTTCATTGCAGTGCTGATTGATCTCTCGTCCCCCTGCAGGTGAGAAGCCTTACAAGTGCTCGTGGGAAGGGTGCGAGTGGCGTTTTGCACGAAGCGACGAGCTCACGAGGCACTACAGGAAACACACAGGGGCAAAACCCTTTAAATGCAACCATTGTGACAGGTAATGCAGCCTTCTAACGCGAGTGTTCAAGCAAATGTACTGCTGCTGAAAGAGAGCACACTGCCAGCCCCCAGGGACCAAAGCCTCTGGCTTTCCACACGGCATACACAGCAGCCGTGCCTCTTTCCTTACAGTGCATGGCCCATGTTTTTTTGCCCTGAAACCCCTCTCTTCCTTAGTGGCCAGCAGGAGTGTCAGGCGTGGCGGGGGGTTCTGGGAAGAGGAAGTTTGTCCGCTAGCATCTGGGCTGGGACCAGCAACTAATTTCTGTACCCAGTTTTCCTTATGGATCCCCCTAAAGCAGAAGCATGGACTCGAGGCCAGATTGTTGTCCCATCGAAGTCAGCAGGAGTTTTGCCCAATGCACAGTTTTGTTCAGCAAAATCTTGCTTTAATGTGCGTAAACTCTACCCAGCCTGCTAGCTGCAACAACATCTTGGGCTTTCCCTCTCCATGATCCCATGTGACTTGGGCAACAACAAAAGCCTGAATTCCCAGCTGCCCTCCCTCGCTTACAAAATTGTGGTTGAACTCCACCTCGTGGCTTCCTGGTCCCTGACAAGGAAGTCACCTGAGGACAGTCAAACCTCACAAACCAGTGGGTCAAGGGAGTCAACACAGCCTAAGATGGGGAGTGTGTGATGTTCACAGAATCTCACATGAATGGCGAAGGTACCCAAGATCTAGAACCAACCCAAGGGGGCTGACAGCATTTTCCCTTTTCTGCATGTTAAATCTATCACTGATCCTCCAGTTCAGTTAACTGAGCACACAGCCCTTTGTTTGCCTATAGGAAGAGAGGCAAACAAAGGGCTGTTTGGGGGGGGGGGGGGGGAGTTCCTGGGGAAACAAAGGGCAACATTTTCAAAAGTGCCTATGTGATTTAAGCACATCTGAAAATTTTACCACAAGGATTTTGGGTGAAATCAAAGGAGCCCTGACTATTCACACTGACTGAGAATCTAGTCCTCTTGTCTTTAAATCACACACGTGACGACCTCCGTTTTATGTGATACTGTAGATTTAATATTTGATCATCTGTCTTTTTAAGCACCTAGATCCAGGGATAAGTACCCAAAGCCAGATTTTCCAAAGAACTCCCCGTCCAACAGCTCTCATTTGGGCAGCTAAAAGTGAGACGGAACTGGGTTTGCCTAGAGAGCTGTCTGCTCAGCAGCTGTCATCCAGAACAATGGGAGCTGCTGGCTGCTGATTCCTGTTGAAAATCTGGCCTCTTAATTTAGGTGCCTGAATGGAAGCAGAGCTCTTTTGAGAATCTGGTCCCGGTTGTGGTTGCTGAGCATTTTTGAAAATCTGGCTCTTTAAAATAAACACATAATTGGGGTGGAGCAAGAGAGAGACTACACAAGGAATCACATCTGACAGTACTGACATTATCAGACAATGACCCTTCCCCCCAAAACTGGAGGCTGGCAATGCCCACGGTGAAGGCTGGATCCAGTGTAGGCATAATCAAATAATGTGCTTGCATCTGAACATGTTATCCAGCTAATCCTATTTATATATATTTTTAAGAGGCTTAAGAAAATTACCCGTCTTTTTAATGCAGCACTAAGGTTCTCCGTTATGATAAGAAAATGGTTTGTAATACAATAGAGTTTATAAAGCCTGTGGGCACACCAGACTGGCCAAGAGCAAGCATAGAAAAAGGATACATAGAACATAAACAGGGACACATCCTTTGATGAGAAGGAAATTTGATCATTTGCACATCCTGTCTTTCCAAGATCCTCATCCTCCTCTCTCCCTCCCCCCTGCCCCCAACCAAGGGCTTCCTCTGTCTTTTATCCCTGGATTATCTTTTGTTTGCTCAGAATGATAAAGGATAAACCAAGCACAGACCCTCTGGAGTCTTGCCTTTTTATAAGCATCTCTGGTGTTCTTTATTTTTATTGTAAGAGGCTGCTTTCTGCTTGTCTTTGCTCTTTAAGAACCAACCAAGTCCCTTTCCGCCAATCCTTTAACCCCCCAGTAAACAAACCACCCTTTTTGGTTTCTGTTGCAAAAAGACAACAGTTGTGATCATTCAGATCCAAAGAGATCTCACCACTCACTATTAACTCAATGATCTCCTTTAGTCGTTTGTTACATGTCGAATTGGAAGAATAATACCTCTCTCTTTTTATCTAAGTGTTTTTTCTATAGCAGCCACCATCACAGTGTCTATTTGCTGTTTTATTCAATGAATTTGTTCCCTTAAAATTGTCAGTTTTCCCCCCATTTGACCAAATCTATGGCTAGGTAAAAAGTATTCAGCAGTTTAAACTGATCATATGTGGTGAAATATGTCCATCAATTTCCCACCGCCCTTTCACTAGGTCTAGTTTGGGAAGCTCAGGGACTCACTGTGTTCAAAGTGGTTCAGAGTAATGGCTCCTTTACTTCGCTGGGCCAGCTTTGACTTAACACTTTCTTTCCTTTCTCTTCCTCTTTCCCTCTTCCCAAGTGTGCTCACTGCCCCCTACTCCAGGCCTGTATTCAGGCATGCCCTTAAGCACATACTTCAGTCCATCCGTATTCAGAAAAGCATTTAAGCACGTGCTTCAAGTTAAACAGGTGCTTTCCCGAATTAAGGTCCCAGATAGTGAGAATCCCATTTCTCCACCTCTAAACTGCTCCCTCTTCAATTTCTTTCTAACTTCTTCCTTTTCACCCTCCACTGACGACAGAAGGGTCCTTGCCTATAGTAAACATCTTGGTTTTCTGAGCTTTAAGTAGCCTTAGGTACATCTTTCAGCAGTGTCGGTGTAGTGTAAACCAACTGCACACCACTCTTCAGAGGTGAAGGTGAGTACTTGGGCAATCAGAGCATGAAAATGGTGACTGAACTACTGGTAGGGGGAGCATTCATGTACGTGATCCATCAACGAGTCCATTAAAAACCCCTCTTTCAGGGCTGTGGGTTTACACCACGAGCCTTTTGGATTGTATTCATGCTATCAGCCTAGAGGACAATTTTTAAAACAACCCATATAGGTCGATTCAGGTGTTATACTTTTAGTGAGAAAAGGAAGTGGGGGTGGGGAGACAGGAAGCTAGAAGTCTGTCACTTTTTCTCCCTCCCCAAGTGCGCACGCATGCACACTTTCTCCCTTTTTCAAACAACATTGGTGGCTTCTTTCTAAAGCACCAAAATTTCAGGCGCACACAGTCTTTGGTGTAAATGGAGGTGCCGAGGGCGCACTCCAGGACCAATGACTTCAATCAGTTTTGTAGCGGACCTTTGGCCTTGGGTGGAAACACAACTCTCTTTGTCATGAAAGGGGATTAACAGCTGAAGTTCCTTCTGGAAAAACAGGATCCTTTAAAATGAAGTGTTTAGTTTTGCCCCCACGTCTTACAGGACACAGATCGTATTGTTAATTTTGGTCGGCAAACTACCACTGATGGGAGGAGCAGCATATGTACAGCGAGTGGTGTATGCTTTGGAGGCAGCCAGGAAGAAAGCAGAGGGAGCTGAAGTAGCCCAGAAGGAGATGAAAGAGTCCACAGAGTGGCTGACGCACCATGAACGTGTTGGTTATTAGCGTTGCTGAAGAATTAGTTGAGAAGCTTTTCAGAACCCTGGGTGACTTTACATACCCTATATCAGAACACCTGGGTGAGCCATGGCCACAGCTGTCACATGTGTTCAACTGAGGGAAACGTGATGTAAAACTCTTCAGTTTTATTTTAATATATATATGGGTATCCTCCTTGACTGCAAGCTAAGAGCCATGTGCTCCTCTCCACACAGCTGGAGGGGTAGTAGATTGCTAAGAGGACCAAATCTCACTGGGCAGGGATCTGAGCAGAGGAAAAAAGATGGCTGAACATTATGTTCTCTTCCCATCCCAGCTGCCTCCTCTTGTTGCTCTGCAGATGCGGAGATGAAACCCACTAGCCTGTTTGGAAGCAGGCAGTTTATGTCCATGCAAGCCCATCAGGAATGACGATATTTTTATGCATCGCAAGCTGTCCGTGCTAGGAACAATGCAGGGACACATGCAGCCTTTCTGAATCCTGGGAGGTGGTACATGCTGGGCGTGGGTACAACATGCAGCAATGCCATAGAGCTGGAAAAGTTGTGAAGACAGAGACCTGTCCTGCGGAAGACCAGAGATCTACAGGATTTATCCCTCATGGATCCCTATTTCCGAACCTATTGAGGACAACTGTCCATTCCGGGCCAACCCTATTGCCAGCACCAGTTCCAAGAAGGGAAAATGTGGCTGGACCTCAGCCACTTAATAGCTGCAGATGCGTCTTGGGCTTTTTGATGGTAGCATTTAGCTGTAATATTTTGTGGGGACTTACATAAGAACAACCCTACTGGGTTAGACCAAAGATCCATCTAGTCCAGCTTCCTGTCTTCTGACAGTGGCCACTGCCAGGATGCTGGGCTAGATGGACCTTTGGTCTGACCCAATGTGGTTGTTCTTACGTAAGTCACTCATTCCCAGCTTCTGGTAAACAGAGGCTAGGGACACCATCCCTGCCCATCCTAGCTAATAGCCATTGATGGACCTATCCTCCATGAATTTATCTAGTTCTTTTTTTGACTTTTTTTTTCCCCAGTTGAAACTGTCCTCCGCCTCTAGGAGCCTCCCGAGTAGATGAAGCTAACTGAATTACTAGCTGGGAAAGAGCCTGCAGGATTAGTCATGTATCATTTTATGAAGTATAAAAATATTTTGGAGCAGAACATAAGGTTATTAATATGAAACAAACTTTTGGTTCGGTTATTAACATTAACAAATCTTGCCATGTCAGTGACTCAGCAGACTTTTAATCCCCAATATTGCTTCTGGTTATCAGCAGGCATCTGAAAGAAGCAGTGGTCAGGTGGTGGTCTTGTGGCTGGTCATAGTTTAAAATGCCAGCTGGTGCCTGTCTTCCTGGCACCCATACTTGTTTTGGCAGCCGTAATATCCATAGCCTGCTGCTTTCTCCATTAACCTGATGAGAGAGATAGCTGTCCAAGGACATATTTGGTACCCTTCAGCTGGACAGTACTAGCTGCGGTGAGCCTTCTGTATTAGAAGCCCACTGTCCATTGTAAGTCTTTCCTCTCTGTCTCTCCCTCCATTCTTAATGCACATACGTCACCCTGGAACATAAAAGAATGCTGGATTCCAACTCCATACCATTCTAAAAGAATGCTGGATTCCAACTCCATACCATTCTAAAATTATTCTTTTTAAATTTTTCCTGCTCTGCTTTGTAAAGAAGCATGGACCAGATCCTCAGCTGGTATGAATCAACATAGCATCATTGATTACACTGGAGCTATGCTGATTTACACCATTTGAGGATCTGGCCATATATGTGAAGGTATTCTTCTTGCAGATTTTCTGCTCTTACAATATTTATCATATTTGCTCACCCCTGCATACAAGTAGTAGTAGGCGCGCAGAGAATCAGAGAGTAATGGCAAAAGGACAGACTAAGTGCACTACACCAGGCCTTTGCCCTCGGATTTTCCTGATTCTTTCTTAGCCTCATGCTGAAGGCACCGAAGGGACCTGTTGCTTTTATCATAGTTTATTCCGCATAAATCTGTTTGTGTGCACAACAAATTCTAGCAACAAGCTTTAAAAAAAAAAAAAAAAGCGTTTGTCAGTGTTTAGTTTGTAATGTAGCTTTGTGTGGCACTGCATGAATTTTCAAAGCATCACAGACAGGTTAATTCTGGAAGTGGCCTGCCACAATGTACACTGGGCTAAGATTCCGGCAACAAGCAGCAAATGTAATTTGTGGTGGATTCTTTTTATCATTACTAAATATAACTTAGAAAGTGTCTTACAGGTTTGGGTGTCAAGAGTGAAGGCCAAGATATTCCGAAGTTCCAAGCGATTTTGGGCACCTCAGGTTTTGAGGGCCCAGTCTGGGGCATCTTAAAGGGGCCTTATTTTTCAGAAAGTGCCAAGCACCTGCCCTCTGGAAGCAGTCCTCTTTAAAAGGGGTCACTAGGCACTTCTGAAAATCTTGGCCGAAGGCTGCTTTGTATATAGTGGCATTTGGGTGGTCGGTGTGAAAGCAGTTGCTGCTCTCAGTCCAATTCCTAGCATATCACATTTGGCATTTATGTTCTCTCTTCCTTGCTGGAAATGTTAGCAGAAGGGTCAAGGATCGAATGGCCATGAAGAAAGAATTGCCCATTGTCCTCAGAAATTCAGTCACAGTGAATACACTTTGGTGGAGCAAAGCACTGTGTTAATGTTGTGATTGGACAGAGGTTTTCATTCTCTAGGGCTCTCATTCGGAGAGCCTTCCATAAGCACTAACATGCATCTACATTTGTACAAGTGCCAGCATGTTTTGCATGTGGACTAAAGAGAAGATGGCCTTGGGGGATAAAGCCCAGAACTGGGAAGTGAAAGACCTGGATTCTGTTGCTGGGTTTGCCAGACTTCTTGTGGGAACTCAAGCAAATTCCTTATCTCACTGTGCCTCAGTGTCCTAATCTATAAAATGGGGATAATGCCTAGGTTCCTCTCAGGGATGTTGTGAGACTACCTTCATCAATATCTGTATAGCACTCATTCTCAGACAGAAGGCTCTTTGGGCCAGATTTTCAAGAGAGCTCTGCTTCAATTTAGCTACCAAAATGAGCAGCTCAGCCCTCAAATCTGGCCTCTTATTTTGATGCCCAAGTGAGTGCTGAGGTCTTTTGAAGATATGGCTACATGTAAGGGTGCTGAGCCCTTGAAAAATCTGACCCTATAAAATATGCAAAATTATTTAGTTTTATTACTACAGCTACTTAGTTAATGAGTTAGCTTGCCCATTCCCCAGTTTCTGACAGTATGAATCTAGTGGGGTTGGGCTGAGGGGAGAATAATCTGCTAATGGATGAGCCAACATAGCTACTTATCTTGAATGGTCACCTTGACTTTGTGACCACATGTGGCAGGTTCCAGGGAACTGCTGTAAACCTGGGTGAACATTGTTCTTGTGCATGATGATAGAGGAGCAGAAAGGCCTGTTTTTAAAATCCTTATTTTGTTTGTTTTGCAGGTGTTTTTCCAGGTCTGACCATCTTGCCCTCCACATGAAGAGACACATCTAACTACCTAAAATCCATCAGCATGGCATAGATGTCAGCTGAGCTAAAAGACATGGCATGAAGGGTGGAACTCAGTTATAACCCGCTGCCTTGCGGAAGAAGAGAACTTGATCACATGTAAACCTCTGTACACAGACCACACACTCACACTGTCATGCACCCAACTATACTTAAATACATACATCTGTTCTTTATGCCTTGCCCCAGCTGGATGGAAGAAGGTGCAGGAGAGGAGACGGGGTAGAGGTGAAGTCAGTAAGATAGAATAATTGCTTACAGACTTCATCACCCGTGGATTTGTTTCCAGCTATTGCCAGTAGAAATCAAAGTAAAATGGAAGAGGCTTCTCTGCAGGTGGACAGCAAGTGGGAGGGGCTTATTTAACTCGCTTCTCAATGCAACTCCATAGGAGAATAGGTCGTCTTGAAGTTGCATATTTGTAGCACTAACTTTTCTTTTTAAATAGATGGGGGGGAATAATGACCTAGAAAACCAAATCCCAGTTTGGTAGCCAAAATTAACCTCTTGGTTCCTTTGTTCTTTGTCTGAGAATTCCTAATGCTTGACACGTCAAACTTCTCACAGACACTTTGATCTGTCTTGGTTTTGGTTCTTCCTAGAACTGAGCTATTAAGATCCTTTTAAGTCAATACCAATGGCCTTAATGGCAGTTGACTGTGGAGTGACACCTGTGACATATACATCATCTGTTTGGCCTGAGTTTATGTAGACTTCATGGAGGACGATATTTTTGTTTGGGTATTTTTGTGTTAACTTTTTTTTGACTATTGCATGCCCTATGCACTGGTAGGGATTATGGAAGCTGCTGGCATGACTGAAAAGCAGCCAAAGGAAGAGTCCCTGAAACATGACGTTATATCTCCATAGGGATCACCTTATTGCCATAGCTAGGACTTCTTGTTTGTCTAATGAAAACTTGAAAAGCTCATGTGGAAGCTTAGACATTTTATCTTTTCTCCATGAACAAGTGATCTTCAGAACTCCTTTTCTTCACCTGCTTATCTGTCTTGGACTGGACAATCAGGCATGACGACAGATTTCCTTCAGCACCATGTGAGCATGTTGGCTACAATCCACAGTGATTGACAAATTGTGTTGCGTGTTCTTGTTATTCTATTGACCAATTTAAAACATTGACTTTTAATTTGTTGAAAGAGCACCTGCAAACATTTATTTTCTAAGCCTAACTTTTGGTTAAGCATCTTACAAAAAAAAAAAAAAAAACAGCCAAAAATACTACTCTAGTCCCAGAGTGGGAAGGTGAGAACCTCTTCCAAATAAAGTGGCTTCATTCAGCATTAATCTTTTAAAGGAAAGATCACAGTCCTCCTTTCCCACTCGTCAAGGTGATGGTATAGCCCACGGATATTAAAAAGAATTGTAAGAATATTTAAAGAGTGAATGAAGGGTTGGCTTTTGTGCACAGCACTGAGGATTTTCCAAGTGATCGGTCTGGTATTGGTAGCATGGGTCCTATTCGACCTTCAGTCTGTACCATCCAGGATCAATGGAAGCCTCACGCTCACCCTTGAATCCTGTAGATAATTTGACCATCTTGGCTCAAAGTGGACTAAATTTCTTGTTAAAAAAAGAAAAAGTAATATATATATATAAATATAACTTGCATTTATAGCAAGTTGGCACTGGCCCTAACTCCAAAGACTGCCTTTAGGACCATATAAAATGGCCTATGCAAGCAGGTGGGGTGGTCATTGGACAGGTTGTATATTTTGTATATTCTGGGACCCTCCCTACAAGACATGTCTAGAAATGAAACAAAATGGCATATGGTCCACAAATGGTTGCTGCTCTTTTATACTGTACTAGCCAACTGCCCTCCTTTGACTGTTTTGACTCATTGACTGTTAAATATTTCCCTTTTGGGATGCAAAACTGAACTCTTAACAAAAAAATGCATAGCTGTAAAACGTAAGAGCAGTCACTGGAATAATTGGTACTTGCGTTCTCCGCATCTGCGCAACCTTTATTCCAGTCAGAGATTGAATCTACCTGAAAGATGTTTATTTTGCTCACAGTTTTTACAAATACTGACTGTCAGTTGGACACTTTGGTGGGGAATATGATATCTGGTCCATATGGCATGAGATATGGACCAAAATCTAACCATCTTTTTGGGGGGCAATGATGTAACAGTGAAAAAAGTAAGAAAAAATTGAGTTTTAGTCCAAAGATTTAAAACTAACTATACTATTAAAAAAAATTACTGGAGCACTGCTTGCTGACAATCTCATAGTTCTCGACTTCTGTGTTTGCATACTTCTTATGGCCATTCAATCCAGGAGTTCAGTTGGGTTCTGAGGGCCCTACAACCCAACTTGTGTTTGAATATGTGGAGCATCTTACCAGGATGTCTCATGGGAGCTTGAGGATACTTGAACCTCAGCTGCGTGAAACTATAGAGCATCCATTCAGTGCATTAGATAAAAATTTAGAAAACTCTAGAAGACGTTCATTCCTATAGCATCCTACAGTACATGTGCACATACTCACCACTACATTAGGCTATGAACCTGTATAAATGTTCTCTTCAGAACTCTAGGTAATCCTGCCTCTAGAAATGTTACTAATAGTCCAGAAGACTTAATATTAAGGGCAATTTAAGTAGAAGGCTCTATTTTAAAAATGAAAAAAAATGGAGAGAAAATATTTGCTTCCTCTTGTTAACATCTCATTTAAAATATAGCAGAACAAGGGCCCTTTTGATAAATATCAAAAATTTCTGAAATATTTGGAAACTCTTTTGTTTTTACAGATAGGCCTGAATCAGAATACCCCAAAACCATAGGAAATGGGTTCAGAATCCAAACCAAGACCTGGATTTCTCAGTTGGGCCCTGTCTGTGATGGTCCTCTAACTTTGAAAGAGAAATTTGGGGTTTCAGGACCATCACTGATATTTTTCAGAGACGTTTGTAATCTGCGTATATTGTGTCTCAGCTCAGTGCACTCTGTCAGTCATTTAATAGCAGAAAGTGCACGTTCTAGTCTCAGAGGACAGTGGGTAAAGCAAACAGTTTGGTCATAGTTACGATTTTTCAAAAGTGACTAGGGATTTTGGGTGCCCAACTTGAGACAACTTAAATGGGTCTGATTTCCATGCATTGGCGCTCAGAACTCTGTAGAAAAACCAGGCTCCTTTTAAGTCGAGAGCTCAAAACCTGAGGCACCCAAGATCACTTGCAACTTTTGAAGGTCTTAGCCCATGTTTTTCTGCTACAGTTGCATTCACTTCATTCACATTGTAAAGAATCACTAGTAACAATCTACCTGGGACCCATGAAAAATGGGAAAGAGCTAATCCTCTCTATAAGGCTGCTTTGGGAACCAAGTTATCTAGCAGATTTTCAAAAGAGCCTTAAAGAGAGGGCTTTACCCTGTTTCCCTTCAAATTGAATTCATGCCCATTTGCAGAACAGAAGACATAAAATGACCAGACATGGCTTCCAAGATCATTGGGGATGGGAACAAATTGAGACACAAGTCCCACAAAAAAACTGATGCCTACAAACTGGTGGAAAAAGAGCACAGAGGAGGAATATGAGTTTCTCTGAATAGTGATGTAGCATTAGTCTGGAGAAGAGCAAGCAGGACACACTTCATATATTAGGACACTGGGGTACCCGAGTTATTCTGGATTTACATTGGTGTAACTAAGCAGAATGTACACCTTAATGGGGTTCTGCTTCAAAAAAATGAGTTAAAGTTTCATTATGAGGCTTTATTTTTTTCTTTCAGTTATTCCATATCAGATTTTCTTAGTGTAGGTATAAAAGCCGGTTGTCTCATAACTCAGTTTGGGATCGGACATGCAAGTTGGGTTTCCTTCTTTCTTTGGGGTCACCTTTTTGATCTGTATCCTCAGCACTCCTGTCGTGTCTCACTGTTCCCATATCAAGCATGGAGGGCCACAGTGCCATGTTTTTAGTCACTTTTCAGAGCAACAAAAACAATCCTCAAAAGTGTACATATAATATACAAAATGCCAGACAATTCCAGCAATTGGAGTGAGAGCCTAGCAAATACTTCAATCCATTACCCCAGAGGTGCTTTACTCCAGTGACCAGCATTCTGTCTGTTGAACTAGAGAATTACATCCTCAATGGTTAGAAAACAAAAGGTGGATATCATTTGCTATTAAATTCCATGAATGAAATCCTAGCCCCATGTCAAGACTCCCATTGACTTCACTGGTGCCCAGAATTTCACTTTGTGGGGTTGATTCTTCGCTCTATTAAACTGGTGTAACAGAATATAGAATCAAGCCTAGAGACCTCTATTAGTTTCCTCCTTATTAAATTCCTCCTTATTAAATTCTACAGGACCTTTCTATTAGGAGAGAAGTCTTAGAAAAGAAAAAAGTTATGGAAGTCCCAGTATGACTGTCAGCAGACATTACTGTACCATGCAGCCTATGTCTTGGGTCCTTACCCAACACATTGGAGTTAAATTACTTTAGATCTAATGTAATTTACATCACTGTGCATATGCACATTAGAATACTATCTTTCTTCTCATTGGCAGCAGGCTTCACTGGAATCTGATTTTATTTTATTTTTTTAAAGGCAAGCACCATTTTACTTGGTACCCTGAAACCACTGACCAAATATGGGAGAAGAGGGTAAATTGGAATGTAAAAGTGGGATACACTTCGTTGCTTTCAGGATTCTGTGTTTAATTTAAGCTAAAAGCAACTAACCTTTGATGTCCTGCCTAAAACGGAGACGATGGATGAATATGATGGCTAGTGTGACTGAGTACACCTTCTCTGTGACTTGATCACTATTTGCAAACTCAGAGGCTCTCTCTCTCTCTCTCATTGTTCCCCAATTTTGGGCATTTTTGTTTCTTTTAGCATTTTTCAATACAAAGATTGCTCTCCTATTTAAGCTCTTGGGATCTTTGCTTCTCTATGTACCGAAGAGATCATAGCAGATGCTTGCAATATAAGAAACAAATCAAGCTTGTTTGTTTCCTTTTTTCCCCTCCACCTTACATGTGTCAAAAAGTATAAAAAAAATATGAGGGGGAAAAAGTTTGTAAATAATTTCACTTTCACAAGGCCAACCGCCAGTGGCTCCAGGGTTTTTAAATCACACTTTTATTCATGCCTCAACACATCTTGATTCTTGGCATTCCCATGCTGTGCGATTTTGTATTTTTAAGCTTTCATATTTGTGGGCAAAACCTCTAACCCAACACTCCCTTAAAATACATTTTGTTGGTTTCTGGTAGATCATATATTTTAAAAAGAACGTGAAAATAACTCTATTCAGTATTGGCTTGAAAAACAAAAACATGAAAATCCTCTACTTCCTAAGATTTTACACCCATTGATCGAAGAGTCTTGCCTTCTCTTACTAGCATTATTTCTAGTCCCTTGGAATGATGATTTCACAATGAAGCTAAAGTGTTTAATCTTCCAAGTGTTGCATTAATAATAACAGGGATAACTTCTGCGATCTTCCTCAGCCACAACATCTCAGTGGCTTCAGTGGCAAGTTTTGCCCATGTAAGAACTGCAGGAGTTGGCCCCCACACACACAAAGGTCTCTCTTATGTAGTGAAACTTTTCTCCCTTCTTTGAGAAAGAGGTCAGTATATTCAGAAATGTGGTGACCATCTGCCTTCTTTACCACCTCAAAAGTGGACTTACCTAATCGAAAACATTCAGAAGCAGGTGTTTTCAAACAGGGTTTTGTTTTTTTCCTTAAAGCTTATGAATAGCATTTTTTATGTAAAAATTAAAGTTGGACTGTTCATAATTTTCATAATGAAAGCATTTACTTGTAAGTGTTTGGATTCCAACTTCTGTGTACTGCCAGAAAACAGGTTCTACCCCCTCTCTCTGGGTGTGTATGTATAGCACATACCTACATGGAAGGAGAAATTGGGCTACTGACATTTTCAGTGTGGTAGCCAACTGTGCCTATTGCCTTTGGTTTGGGGAGGGTGCTCACTGTTGCCAGTGCATTTTAGAAATAGCGTGGGTTTACATAGGAAGTTTTCAGCCGTATTTGTTGCTGTATATTGTGAGCTAGTAAGCTGCAAACTAGGGGGCGGGAAAGGGAGGGCTCAGACTATACCCGGAGAGTAAAACGGAATGGAGAGAGATGACATTTTTAGCCTTTACCTTTGGACTGTAGAGAAAAATGAAAACCAACACACAGTCCCAAAAAGGCCTATTGGCTGGGGGGCTGATCCTTAGCTTATATTTTAACCCATCTCTCCTGTAGTTTAGAACACGAGCCCTACAGGCCCTGAGAGTAGCTTGAAACACTGGTTTAAACACTACTTTGTTACTGGGGCCTTGTCTCTACCAGACAAGTTGCACCAGTTTTATAAAATCAAGCTAGTTAAACGAATGAAAACGCCACTACATAGGTGCGCTTAACCTTTGCTCAAGTCTGTTTAGTTTGCATTGGTAACTTTTAATTAATCAATCTTAACTGATGTAAGAAACAGCTAAGCTATTTTAGGTGCATTTATATTAGAGGCTGGCTCTGGTTTAACTAGATTGATTTTAAAAATCAGTCCGATGAACTGTTGTAACTTTTCTCCCATAAAACAAGGCCTTCGTATTTCTGCTCATTTAAACAGAAAGTAAAAAATAATATGGCCAAGATATTTTTCTTTTATAGCAATGTTCACTTTCTGCCCCGCACTCCTTGGTTAAGCTCTTTCTTGGTCCCTACTGTATCACTTTAACAAACAAACAGTACGAGTGCTCCCCCTTTGAAACAAAAACACCCCTCTCCCCCACAAACAACATAGCTTGAAGGATGTTCATTTTGCACTATAATTTTTCTTTTGCCAGATGTGTCTAACAAGTGCATTTGGAGATGCCCTCGGTCACATTCTCTCAGGCCTACTCTGGTATTTCTAATATATCACAGAAGTACCCAATCTTGTAGCCCTCAGTTCTGCCTTTTTTTGACATTTTATTTTTTTTAAGCTTTTTATAAATATATATATATATAAATATAAATATATTACTTTGTCAGTTTTTTTGCTGTACAAAAAGTCTTTAAGATTTAAAAAATATTATTTGTATTATATGATGGTGGTATGTTAATGTTACAAAATTATTAATGAAGAAAAAATTTATTTTTGTTACTGGTCTGTTTCATAATTCTTTTTTAAATTGGTATATTGTAAGATATCTATGCAAAAATGTTATGTGATGCATTTTTATTTAAGAATGTAATATGTGTAATAAACAGTAGAATGTGTTTGGCCTGAAAATGGTCAGTGTGTCCTGAATGTTATTTCGTTATTGGAACTTCTCTGAATAAAACCTCTCCAGATAATAAGGCCTTAGCACTGCAAACACGTACATAGAATCACAGAACCGGGACTGCAAGGGTCATCTCGTCTAACCACCTGCCAAGAGGCAGGATTTCTTGTGTCTAAATTATCCAAGACAGATGGCTCTCCAGCCTTTTTCTGAAAGCCTCCAGTGAAGGAGATTCCACGACCTCCCTAGGCCGTGTGTTCCACTGTCCTACTGTTCTCACAGTTGGGAAGTTTTTCCACGAGATTTAATCTAAACCAGCCATGCTGTAGTTTGAACCCATTGTCTCTTGTCCTGCCCTCTGGGGCAAGAGAGAACAATTTTTCTCCATCTTTTTTTATGGCAGCCTTAAAGTATATGAGTGGTCCCACTGAAATCAGGATCAGGAACTAAATTATCTACTTTGTTTTTACTTTAGACCAGCTGAGTGTCATTTACATACGTGCCCGGTTTGGGAGACTCACCCTAAAGGTATTCCCTTGATTAAAAATGTTCCTGATCCTCAGCTGGTATAAGTCAGCATCACTCTGCTGGAGCTATGCCAATTGACACCAGCTGAGGATCTGTCCCAAGGCATTTTTATAACATACAGCATTTGCATAGCACTTTACATCTATAGCGGTCCAAACATTTTATAAAGGGAAGTAAATATTATGATCCCCTTTTACCAGGGGGTCAGAGTCACAAAGAGATTCAGTGACTTGCTGAAGGTTGAACAGCTCAGTGACGGAGGCAGGGATAGCATTGAGGTCTCCCGACTCCCAAGCCTGTGCTCCTGTCTATGGAGCACATTCCCTCTCAAGGTGCTATAGAGCAAAATTTACATCTCTGTTCTCACTTAGTCTCCCTTTTTTTGTGGCTGCAATTTTGCAGGCACTATTTAGTTCACTTGGATGTCCCAGCCCCTGACTGTACCAACAAATCAAGTTCTTGGATGGCCAACGACAGTAATTGTGGACAACACAAATAATAATTGGCATAAAATAAAGAGGCTAACTTCTTAAAATCGGTCTTGAAATCCTTTATGTTTATGCTGGTGGAAGTGTATATTCAACCCCACCTGCCTCATTGGGAATTGCATGCACTCATCCTATGGGCTGGTTGGGCCCCTATGATGCAATCTATCTGTTTTTCCTCCCTGGGACAGCATAGCTCATTACCCCAGGGAATTGCTAATAGCACGATTAGTGCTAGACACTTTGGATCTGATCATCCAGTCAGCTGCGTGTGAACAACTCCCAGTGACTTCTATGAGATCCCAATTGGGCTTCAGATGTTGGTAGTACATCCATGGCTTGGTTTTGATTTCAGTGATATTGATCAAAACTGATGTAAGTCCTCTACAGTCATATCTGGGGGAAGACTAAAGTGGGTAACCACGGTGTTTCCAATACCCATGGGTGGTAACTATTGAATGAGCACTGTATTATAAACCTACATTTTTAATAAGGGCTTCTGGTGAAACATAAAAATGGTGGGTGCTGTGTGTTTTTGGTCAGAGAAAAGCTGTCATTTTAAAGTTCCACATAGACTTATGGGGCTTGTGAAAAGAGGCATTTGGGGGTGGGACTGTTGTAAGCACTCAACACTGATTTAATTCTTTTTCCCATTTAGGTCAATAGTGAAACTCCCAACAACTTTCATGGAAGAAGAGCTAATACTGAGCACTTCTGAAAATCCTACCATAGGTTAGGAGACAAAGATTCCAGCTGGGTGGATAATCAGCAGGGCTTACTTTGTAATGAAATGGGTGCCAGGGCTCAAGCAATTTTTTCCCATTCATAGCTGATGCGGCAAGCCAAAAGATGCTAGGGCTATGGACTGCCAAGCCTAGAGATGCCGGGGCTCAGCCCTACCACAAATTAAGGACTGGTAATCAATATGATGGCACAAGTCAATGCTTCATATTTAATGGTGACCACTACATGTCCTATATGGGAGTATATTATTAGTTACACTTCTGCCAACAAAGAATGCAACACTTGTTTAAGTGCTGAGGTTGTGTTCGTTTCTCTCGGCTGATCAAATAGTAAACCTGATGTTGCTTTAAAAAAAGCCATTGTATGTTAAATGAAACATTTTCTTATAGTAAGTGTGAAATAGTCTGAGTACTTTGACATCATGCCACAAAAATACAGGGCTGAAAAACTTGTCCATTTATTATAGGTGGAAATACTTGTATTATGTGGCTATAATTATAGCAGTGTACATAATTATTCCAAATGTCTACAATGTATGAAATTATAACCATATAATAAACATTTTATAGCATCTTTCATACAACCCTGATGCCCAAATCCTTAACCTCTCTCTCTCCCTGGGTGCTGTGGAAGTTTTGGGTTAAGTAAGTGTAACCGTCATCACTAAAACCTTTGGTGCAATTTGACTGACTTCTGCCTGCCTAGCCTGTAATAAAGGACGGAGCCAAGCCTTTGACTAGTGTATCAGATGCAGAACTCTCACTTACAGGTAAACACTTTAATAATTTTGTTCTTTAGGAACTTTCAGAAAATCCTATCCTTTACCTTATCATATTTCATTTCCTTTTAGGAGCCGCTACGTACTTAGTCTACAAGAATAGCAGTCACATACTTCCCTGGACTTAAGGCCAGGAAAGCTGATCATATAAAGAAACATCTTCCCCCTCAAGCTGTTCAACTAACAGAAAGAGAACAAGCTCCTTCAACAGCTTCCACTGCCATTGCTCTTCCTGCAGAGGGGCAAGAATCAGTACTACATTCTCCCCATTTAAAACAAAAATCTGCATCCATTGATGCTAGGGTCAGTCCCCGCCTTGTTTCCCACCCAGATTAGAAGGGATACCCTCCCTCCAAATACTCCAAGGCACATCAGCTGGAACGGGGTGGGGTGAGAGCTGAACTGGTAAGGCTGTTCCTTCATGCTAAACGAATCCAATCATCTCCTGAATAAACTCAGCCTCTTCCCAGTCATGACTCCAAGGCTATCTGGTGGACAGTACAAAGTGTCATAGACGGCTGCCAGCTTGCATTTGTTTTCTAGAAAGAAATTAGATCTGGTTGAAACAAAATGTGGGGATGGTTTTGCAAAAGAAAATGAAGAAACTATAAAAATTAGTGTGTTACTTTTTTCTACCTTTTTCCAGTCAAAGGTTTTCCCACCAAAAACAAAACAAACAAACAAACATTTTGAAGTATTTTGAATTTTTTTTTAAAAGATAAAAAAAAAAAATCCTCCTTTTTCAATGAAAATTGGACCAGGCTCCCTCCCCGGCTTTCCAAAGACCCTCCACTTTGCTGAGTTAAGTCAGTTCTCTCTCCAGCCCTGTCTGCTGACGCAGCATTGGCATGTGTGTCTTCACCGGAGTGTAGGGAGGCAACTAGAGTCATCAGAGCTGTGAGACATGGGGGCTCTCGAGGGCAAGGGGTTGCCAATTTGCTTCGTTTTGCTTCAAATCACGTAGGAGGTTTCCTGAGTTCAAAGACCCTTCCTTGGCATCCAACTGAGCAGATTCAAATTCTTTTATTGTTTACACTGGTTGGCTAGTGTCCAAATTACCGTATAGCAGTACCAGCGCAGGTTGTAGTGGGTCTAATCACATGGATTCACAGCTCCTCAGTGTTTGTTTTTTCTTCCACCAAATGCACTCAGAAACTTGATGACACTCACCAAAAGCTGCTACATTTCATCTGGAAAATATCCCATATCATAAATCTCTATCTACCCTGTGGGGTGGGGAGGAGTAGCCTCAAACTCAGCCTGTGTTCCCAAAGCAGCACAGAGTGTTGACTTCAGGCTGAAAGCCCAAACCAGGCAGATTTCATCTGGTCTGGGGCTCATTATGAAGTTTCTGAACATTATCAGTGTACCTCAGGATTCAGGATACATCCGCCCCTTAGTATCCAGTGGTTCAGAGAGAAATAATTAGGAAACATTAGGAAATTCTCCCCGATACAAGGACATTGATGGAAAGTTGCTTAATGACAGGGCCTACATTTGGTGGCATGATTCTCCTATCACTCATCCTGGTGTAAATCAGGGGTAACCCCTTTAAAGTCACTGGAGTTAAAGTGGTATAAAACTGGTATGAGCTGGAAAAGAATCTGCTAAGGGGATTTTAGCCCAGTCCTTACTAGGCTGAGCAATAGTCCAGTGCAGAGTACGTACTCGAAGGGAAGTATGGTTAGAATAGAAGCCTGAGAGTCAGGAGACCAAGGTTCTGGTTCCTGCTCTCTGCCCCTCCCTCCCCGACAGACACTTCCCCTGGGAACTTAGAAAGTCACTTAAGCCTCTCTGTGCCTCATTTTCCCCTCCTGTACAATGGGGATAATAGCACTGCCCTACCTCACAAGGTGCTGTGAGGACAAATTCACTAAAGACCGTGAGGTGTTCGGACACTATGGTAATAGGGCCCCATAAGTACTGCAGATGGAGTGTGCTAAATGAAGCACTATTTCAAAACTGAGGTGGAAAAGAATTTTTGGATGCTCAGGAAGGATTTCTGAAAATAGGCGGCTTCCTACTCTCCAAAAAACTCCACTTAGCTTAGGAAGTAGAAAGCTGGGGCAGAGTTGGGAGTCAAAATCTTAGCAAAAAGGGCCTTGAGTATCAGAATCACTCTGAAAGGCCAAATGCAAATCTCTCTCCAATGCCTTCCTCAGACCCTGCAAGGATATGGTTAGCGGAGGACACAGGAAGAGATCTGCAATAGCTGAGCTAATCTGGAAAGGGGAAGATAAAGCAGCCCTGGTAATCGGAGCAATGATGCATAGCACTGTGGGAAACGTTTATGAACTCTCCGAGCGCTGTAGGGGAGGAGCAAGGGTTCCTTTTACCTCTCCATCTAAATTCAAGGTAGTAGCTCCCGGACAACTCCATCAACACACACAAAACCCAGATCATCTCAGTCATCACTTTATCCTCGGATGAACAGATTAGAATGCTTTGCTTGTCTACATC